ATATAGTGCAAGAGCGGAGTGAGAGCAGCGGGTGTTCCAGAGGGAGAACAGGCGTGCGATGCGGGGGGCTGGGGGGAGCCCTCTTTTCTCACCTACTTTTTTTTTTTTCTTTGGCAAAGAGGGGATCTGTGTGTTTGGTCAGCTTGTGTGGCGAACTTTGCAAGCGCCTCCCTGGGTAAACGTACATGTAGGGCATAAGATAGGGCCGGGGAAGAAAAACGCATTTACAAGATGAATGTGTTGCACGTCGGTGCACGACAAAAACGCCGGCCTTTACGTTCAGGCTTGGTCAACCTCTGGCCTAGCGGGCCGGGACAGGTGTTTCTTCCAAAGTGTTTGGTCCTTGTGACTGCGCGAACGGCAACCATGGTCCGGACAGATCCATAGAGCCGCGGGCCACCTTTCTATTCTCCCCCCTCGATTCGATTTGATTTGCTTTCGGTGTGTTCCCTCTCGTTCCTGTTAAATAGGGTGATCGTGCCCAGTTTTGATCCGTTTCCCAAACGAGGATTTCGTTGGACGGTTGTAATTTTTTACCGTTCAGGTAAGTTTACGATTCAACTCCATTGCATTTTTATTTTCGGCATCGGGAATGAGGGGGGGGGGGGGCAGGATTGAAGCGTACACTATTATAGTAGGAGAGCTACCGTGGGCGACACAAATTCAGTGTTGCAGTTCTACCGAAGTGAAGGGTCTCCGTCCGAACCGGCTGCTTTGCGCAGGTGGTCGATGTTTTTGCATGTTGCGAATCTCTATCATGCAGGAGCTCGCCGTGTTTTTCCTGGCTTCCAAAACAGCCTTCTCCAAGCTATCGCTACCTCAGTACTAGATGCCATGTCCTCATGCCGTGGCGAGCAAAAATTACACAGGAGTTGGAAGCTCTGAAAACAACTTTGTTGCAGTCTGCATGGTGGTCGTCAGTGAAGGATTCCGCCTGCACCCACCCGCCCTCACCCCCACGTCTTGCACAACTCGTGGATGCTGTACAACATGAAGGGGAAATTATCAGACCATCACGACTTGAAGCGGCCACGCACGGCGAAAGCCACACGCACGACGAAATATGAGGGCCAATCATTCCCACGCGCGGTGGCGGCGTATGACACGAAGCGCAATAACACGTGAGATCTTGCGCGTGTACACCGCCCACGTCCGTTGTAGTGTATGTTACAGGGCTAACTCTAATTTTTCTACACGCCGGAAACAACACGGATTGTTTGCCCGTGCCTCTTTCTGTGGAGAGCACGAGACGCAAGAGAGTTTCTATGTACACCATACAACTCAGTCTCATCATACTCGCGCACGGCTTGTTCCCTAGCGGACCACGGCATGTACTACGTATGTAAAATCACCTTGTGTATCGCACCTCTACAGAAGATGATGCCGTTTCGGCACAGGGATCGCACCCAAAACGCCTAACAACGGGCGTCGCGGCGTACGCAAGGCCTACACACGCCCTGCTGCTGAGTGTGTTCGGAGCCAGTGGCAGCGGTGCGACGCTGCATGAAGCTTAACGCCGTATCACCCGCCCATTCCTCCCCAAGACGCGACGGTTTCCACGCATGGGAATCGCACGTCTCTGGCGCCACACCACAGCTACGGCGAGGACACAAACCCTCCCTCTCACTTCCACCTCCTTCCAAACCGAAACAACACATTTTTTTCACTTGTTCCTTTTGCGGGGAACTCGAAAAAAACACGTAAAAAAACATATAAAGAAAAGACCGAGGGTAAAATCACAAACAACACTCGCCACCGCCGTGCGTAGGTAAGAAACTCAGCCCCCCCTTCTCAAGACCCGCCGCAGTCGCCGCCGTCGTCATCACCACCACCACTGCTGCCACCACCGCCACCACCGCCACCACCACCACCGCCACCACTCTTGTTGTCACCTCCTTCGCTCCCCTGCCACGGCTCCTCCAAGAACGGGTGCTGGGCTATTTCGTCCATCATCTCCGAGGGTAGGTGCGGGATGAGGGAAAACGCCATCGAGACCAACAGCTCCGCGTCCAGGGGCGGCAGGTTGCGTGCGTTCAGATGTCGGTACGGGTTGGGGTCCTGCAGCAGGGTATCTCGCAGGGAGACGCACTGCGAGAGCGTAAGCGGCGGGTAACAAAGAGAGGGTGGAAACTTCGTTTGTTGTTCTTGTGTTTGTGTTTTGCGTCATACAGCAGCGACTACAAAAACCATACAATAGCAACACCAACACCAACCGCAGCAGCACCGCACCTGAGCGACGCAGATGAGGACCTCGAGGTGCACGCCGAACGAAAACACCGCGTCCCACAGCTTGACCGCCTCCTCCAGGGGGGGCACGCAGGCGTGCAGGCTCATCACCAGCGGGAAGGCGTAGATGTTGGCCGTGAGGAACTTGCTCTCGAGGTAGTTGAACAGCACGGGGTCGACCATGCTCAGCACCCGGTCCACCAGGGCGCAGCCGGCGTGCACGCCGTCGAGGTTCGCCGCCACGTACCTGTGTTACGGGTGGCCGGTGCAAAAACTACTGTGGTGTGCTTTGCGTTCTGGGGGTGGGTTCGGTTCACTATTTGGCGCACCGCTTGGTTCGTCTCAGCTGAAATAAATGTCCAGCTGGAAGTTAATTGATCCGGGTGTGATGCGATGTTTTGTTGTACTTCGGCGCAAACCCCAGGAGTCACTACTACACTTTCCTTGGTTGGTTGTGTTCAGGAGATGAGGGGTCAACCCCGTTCTCCATCGCTACTGCTGTCGGATCCGCGGCAGACGAGGCGGCCCAACAACCAGCCTTTTCATTCTCTCACCTGGGCATGTGCTGATTCAACAGAGAGTTGAAGCAGTAGAACGCGTCCACTTCCGGCATCACAAACAGCAGGGGCGCGCACAGCACCATCATTCCCTGCACGTACAACCCTTTCCCCCCGTCCCCTACTCGCTCCTCCCCTTCCCCGGTCGCGCCCCCGGTCGCGGGAGCAGCCCCGCCCGCCTCAGCCCCGGCCCCTTCCTTATCCACAATCGACGAGTTTGAACATCGAGGCACGTCTTCCGATTTTGGAGGGTGTTCCTCGCCGCCGTGTTTGTCGTTGCTACCGCTCCCCTCTCGCCCCCGTCCCTCCGACCCACGCCTTGCAGTATCCGCCGCTGCCGTCGCCGCGACCGGTGCCCCGCCGTCCGGGTGGTTCAGCCTCACGTAGGCGTTGTTGATGCGGGAGAGCTTGTCCTCGTGCACCCTCCTTCGGAACTCCTCGTCCCGCGGGAACGTCCGGAAGGTGTCCTCCCTGATCTTTACGTCCTCGGAGGACGGTCCCTTGGCCACCAGCCGGATGTAGAGCATCGAGTCCGTGTGGATCGTGCCGAGGAGGACCTTCCACACCAGGCCACGGAGGGAGCACTGGTGATCCTCCCCCGGGTCCGCCGGGACGGACACCGTACCGCTCGTCCCGCTGCCCCCACTCGTGAAGCCGCCACAGCCGCCGCCACCGCTTGTGGCGCTGCCCCCGCCGCCGCCGCCGCCGCTGCTGCCCCGCGCTCCCCTCCGTCCGGGCTGCTGCTGCTTCCGCTGGTGTTGTGCCGAGGAGGGAGAAGATCGCAGTGACGACGATGCCCTCGTTGTTGTTGTTGTTGTTGTTGTTGTTGCCGAGGCGGTCGTCGTCGCCTCCTGTCCGTTCCGGTGTTCGGCGCCACTGCTGCCCGATGTCGGGGTTGTGCAGTGTTCCAAAACATCGCCGGGAAGGCCTGAGGGCAGAGAGGGGGCAGGGGAGAAGGTCAGCATGAAAGTAAGACATGAAACTACTGCTGCTTAGCGCGTGGGACACGCAAGCTTGTTGTGTAGCTCTGCCATTGTCGCGTACCCCAGCAGTATTCATCGGTAGTAGAACGTCCGGTGGAACCCACAACAGCAAGAGAGGACTACTGCTGTGGAGCTTGTCAAAACCGAACGCACGAGGAGCAAAGGTCTGCATTTCTAGGCTGCTGAGTGTTGCAACACGCGTCAAAGACAAGAAAACAGAGGTGCAACTCGGTGGGAATCCGCGCCCTGCTGCTGCTGTGTACACCACCTGCTGAGTTCAACGCCAACAACCAGCCCTCGGACACAGCACTACGGCGGTAACTGCTACCTCCAAATCGCCACAAACACACCTTGAGCTAGAACCATCCTTCGCAAGGTTTTGATCCTTTCCGACAGCGACGACCTGTCCTTTCTTTGCAGCACGGCGTAGTACCGCTCTCGCAGCGCCCTGTCGGCTGCCTGCGAACGACGCTTGCCTCGCCTACCCTCATCCTTGGCACCGCTCTCGCCGCTCCCCTTGGTGCCGACCTCACTACGGCGTTTCTGAGGCGGTCGTTCGAGCGGACGGCGCGGGGAAATAGGGGGGGAGACGGGGGGGCGTCAACGTGTCTTTCGTGCCAGAGTTGGCGCTCGAGTTGTGGTGTTGGTGTCGGCGCGGTGCTGGGTGAGCTTCCCGCGGGCGGGGCGTGAGAGGATAGACAGGACAACGGAGACACGGAACGTTCAATTTGTTTTACTGCTATGTGCACATCTTTCACCTCGATTGATTCGATACACCGGAACACGTCCACCACCGCTGGAGATGAAGTACCCATGTATGGCGAAGAGCCGTGCAACACCGCACTGCGTTTGTGGTATGTTAGGCGTGGTGGGTTGCTCGTTGCGTTGCTCGTTGCGTTGCTCGTGTTCAGCTCTGAAGAGAGGCAACGCGCACTGTTTTGTCTGCGGCCGCACCCCGCCCATTCACATCCGCGATGCCCCCGCGTGCACGCGCCAGGCAGAGAGGCGTGCGCTGTGCTCCCTGTTCTGGCACAAGGTACCTGTGCGTCATCCTCCTCAGATGGGGGGCGAGCCACGCAATCGCAAGGGACGAAACAATCTCAACGTTTCGCCATGGATGGCCATAGCACTTGTTTCCTCGTTGGCGGGGAGGGGCGGGCGCGTTGCAGCGAAGCGATGCCCTGGGTTCTTGACACCGCCGTGCGGACAACAGCAGGGGAGGAAGAGCGTTGGTGCAGCTTGTAGCTCACTAAACCGCTATTCTTTTCAACGCTCGCTGTCTCTCTGGGCCGTTAGCAGAACGTTGCCGCGATATGACGAGGATGACGACGGGCAACGAAACCTGGTTGAACCTGCTGACGTGCGTCTGATGAAGCCACGATCATCAGCTCTCCCCGTCATGACAACTGCTACGTGCAGCAGTAGCAGCAGCACCTTACCGACCACACTACTGCGCGGAGGTGGCGGCAGCACGACCGGGCGGCGATTGTTATCGAGTGCTGCCGGCGTTCTGTCGCCGGGAGGGCACCGCGGGGGCGGCGGCCGTGCGACCATCACCGGGCGGGGCGATACGCAACTGTCGTCGACAGCTGCCGTTGCGCCGCCAGAAGTCCACCCTGACGGCGTCACCATCATCAAGCCCGACCGCGATACCCGGCACTACCGATACCTGGTGCTGCCCAACGGGCTCGAAGTGGTCTTGGTCTCGGACCCGTACACGGAGCAAGCGGCCGCATCGATGTTCATCCGAGCTGGTCACATGCAGGATCCTCCGGAGCTAGCTGGGATGGCGCACTTCCACGAGCACAGTGAGCTTATTGATAGTTTTTGTACGTTTGCATCGGATACACACGCCGAGGCACCCACCGTAGTCTACGTACGATCGGGAAGGATGGATTCTGGGGCTCGTTTTCCTCAATAAAGCAACGTTTTACCATAACCTGGCAGAAATTGAGGGGAAGAACTTCGAGTGCCAGCCGGGCACGGCATCAAACACGGTAGGTCCATCCGCGCTCACGTTGCCGCTGCTGTAGCAAACGCCACGCTTCTGGAGGTAAAGACACCTGACACCGAGTGAGGGTCAGGTGTGACCTTCCGTGATCCTCTGTCGAAGCACCCCCCTCCTACCCAAGCAGCACACTACTAACGCTTCGCGTTCAAAGGTCGATGGAGGCGACGATGGGACGACAATCTCTCAGTGAGGGCGAGGCAAGTGTTGGGGGATGTCCACAACCAAGGAACCCAAAAAAACCGCCGCCGCTGCCGCGGTCCGTCGTTTGCTCTCTCGCGCGCACCAGTGCTCTTCTTGGGGACGGAGAGATATCCGGAGGAGGGAGAGTTCGAGAATTTTTTGACCCAACACGGGGGATCGTCTAACGCGGTAAGTATTATTGCTGTAACGGGTTGCAACATAGGAAGGCTGCTGGACTACTGTAAGCATCCATGGTGGTACTCATGAGATGCACGGGTCGAGCGAGATGCGAAACCTCCTGTAGTTTTTGCAGATTCAACAGCTTCGAAGCACTGCAGCCGCTGTGACACGCAAGTTGTGGTGCCCACTACGCGCCAGGAAGGTATATTGCACACAAATTTTGTAACCAAGGGGTAAAGTACCCGATGTGGACTCAACGTCGGGGGGAAAGAATGACTGCTGTCGGCTTACCTACATATCTAGCCTTTGTGCTTCAATAGTATTTGCCATCGCGTAAATGCTGCCTCCCGCAGGGCCGACCGAACGCACACAACTTTGATATAATACACGCGCAAGTGTCACTACTCGAGAATTTTCGTATTGTTATAAACTTTCCGGTTCCCTCGCACCCCTGCCCCCACCGTCGGCACCGCTGCCCCTCCCCCCCCTCCCCCCCCTTCGACGGCGCTCTCTCGACCCGTCACCATCTGCCGGACTATTGCACACGTCGAAGTACACCGCGACGGAGTCGACGAACTACTACTTCGACGTCAAGTCTTCCCACCTCCGTGGCGCCACGGATCGGTTCGCGCAGTTCTTCCGAACCCCCCTCTTCGCGGAATCGGCCATCGAGCGAGAGATGCAGGCGGTGGACTCTGAGCACTCGAACAACAAGAACGAAGACACGTGGAGAATATACCAGGTACAGACGTGCTTGTGGGGGTGGGGTATCGGTGGTGGGGGTCGCGGCGCCCTGTGTGCCAAGGTCTTGACTACCGCTCTTGTCTAACTCACCGATGTGTTCGCTCGCTCCCCCCCTCCCCCAAGTATCATGGCACCCTCCTGTTCCTGCTTACATCTAGTAATGAAACGTGTGGTGTGCATGCTCAAGCCAGGTATTATAGTAGCAATGCCGTTCCCCCCCTTGATACTTGTCGTCCTGTATAGCTGTCGGCGATCCCCCATGACGTTTTCCGTGTCATTTCTATGCATGTATGTTTTACGATTTTCCATCCCCAGCCCATTGCCACACGCGTTGCTTGAAACCCTGCACCACCTTGTCCGTTCGTGTCGGCCGAAACAACACGCCATCAGCAACATCGTTGCCGTTCATTCTACCGCCTCAAAACCATGGCCACGTTTTGCGAAACGCGTGCACGCATACATGCAGGTGTTGAAAGCGACAGCCAACCCTTCCCACGCCTTCTCCAAGTTTGGCTCTGGAAACTACGAAACGCTGAGGCCGCGACCGGAGGAGGGCGTGGACACGAGAGCGTCTTTGGTAAGTACTTGTACAAGAAGCGGAAGAAAGAGATGGCACACCCCCTACTTCGACTTTCAAAGCTCGATTTCTCCACAACCATGGGGGAGCAGAAAGAGCCTGAATCGTCTACTATATTCCCTCGACGAGGTGCTTCCAAAACCACCATTTTTTCAGTGACGACAATGTCTTGGTTGTGGACCAAAGGAGCTTTGAAAGTCGTTCTAGGGGGGTGGCATCTCTCCCCCTCTTGCGGCAGTCGGCTTGATTAAGAGAATCGAGGAGGAGAGTTTGGGGGGGCGGTGTTGGCGTGCCGGTGGTCATGCTCGAGCCGTGTCGGCGTGTGCAACCTTGCACAAGGCTTCCGCGAGCAGTGGTAAGATTTTCGCCGACCCGTCAGGCATTGCGTCAAGCACACAGCGCAACCGGAAGTTGGGGGGGGAGGAGTGGGGGGTATGGGTTCGTTTTTTTTTTGCCGGTCGGCCCCGAGCAGGTCAAATCATGCCAGTTCATATCAAGAAGCGAAAATTCGAAGTGCAAGAGAAGCAGACCAGATAAAAGGCAAACAAACACGCTCTTCGCCGAGGATTAACCTTTGTTCGACTTTGACTGCCGATGAGTGCTCGGGAAAACGCAGCATTCTCCTGCCGTCGAATCACTATATCGTACTGCGGCTAGAGGTGATGATGGTCATGGTCATGATATCGTTTGCTCGTGTCCGTTCCTTGCCGATTCGCGCTGTCGCTGCGCTTTCGTTCTTTGCCGTTGAACCAACCTATTCGGGGGGGGGGGGGCTCCGTAGATCGATTTCCACGAGACGTACTACTCCGCCGACGCGATGAAGCTCTCGATACTAGGCAACGAGGACCTGGACACTCTCGAGGCCTGGGTCCGCGACGCCTTCTCGGGGGTGCGAAACACGAAGCCCCCGGCGGTGCCGGACTACGGGCCGTACCCGGCGTTCGGGGCGGCCGAGCTGGGGCGGCGGGTGACGGTGATCCCCCTGAAGGAGACGAGGCAGCTGGCGCTATCGTGGCCGTTGCCCCCGTACCAAGGTGTCACAAGAGGTATGCAAGCCGACCGCATGTACAGTGTCGCACAAAATTGCTGGTGAGTTTTGGAAGAGGGGCGGGGGGGGGGCGTACTCATTTGTTTGCTTGCCGTAGTCATTTGACCATTGACCACGCGTCCCTTTCGAGACGGAGCACCGTTCCTACACCTACTAGAGACACCACCAACATTTGGGAGCTCTTTACGTTTCTGCCACAAACTCCATAAAAATTTCTTGCACATCTTATCCCCGTCCTCTAGGGCCTCTTGTGCCCACCATCTATCCCCAATTATCGCGATCGTTTTTTCGCTGTTGTCTAATTTACCAAACTTGTCCATGTCACACCCTCTCTGTCTCATTTCCTCCTCGAGATCCTCTCTTTCCTTCCTGTACAACTCACACTCCCCAACTATGTGGGGTCTACTCTCCTCCGATTTGCCACATGGACATGTGTGTCTATCCTCCTCTTCCTCTCTCCTACGGCTGGTATACCTCTTCCTCCGTTCTGGCAAGTCCAGATCGCCTACTCGAAATTGCAATTTCAGCTTTTTCGCATAGTCCATGGGGCCGTCCAAGTACTTCTTCATCCCTATCCCTTCTTTCAACTTCCCGTATATCTCCAAGTGGTCTTCGCTTCGTACCTTCTTGCGAAGGGTTGTCTCCTCCCTACTCTCTAGCATCTCCTTGACTTTCGTCTTGAACCCCCCCGAACCCTTCCGTGTCCAACGTCTCCTCCTCGTCTCCTATCTCCTTCCAAACCTTCTCTACCACCTTGTCCCATCTGATTCCCTTCTTCCCTGGAGTCGCTTTTCCCCAAGCTGCCTCGTCAACCATGGCTGGTAGTCTATCGTCCGACATTCTACTTACCTTGTACTGCCACTTCAACTTCTGCATGTCTCTCTTTGTTTTAAGAGAGTACATTCCCAATTCTGCTCTCAATACAGTGTTGCTCGTTGTGCTTGAACATCCTAGTATTTTCTTGGCCGCTGCCATCTGCACCGTTTCCAGCTGCTTGACGGCCTTTTCGTTACCTTCCCATATCTCTCCTGCATACTCTAGCTTAGGTACAATCACCTTCAAGAGAATACACCTCTTAATCCTAGTGTCTAGGTGTGGGTCCGTAAGGATCTCATCCATCTTGCCTATCTGAGCTTTACCCTTCCCAATCAACTTCGCTATGTGTGCGTCCCATGAGCACTCCTTCGAAATCTCTACTCCCAGGTACGTATACTTGTCTACTACCGGTAGTTCTTCCTCCCCCCATTTCCATTTGAATTCTACGGGATTTTTCTTATCTTCGTTACAGACCACTACTGCGCATTTTCCTACGTTCGCCGACAGTCTCCATTTTCGGGTGTATCCTACCGCCGCATCTATTTGTTCTTGCAACCCTTCTGGTGTTTCGGATACCCCCACGAAATCATCTGCAAACATCAGTCCGGACACACTCTTTCCCTCTACTTGGACTCCCTGTCTTACTGCTTCAACCGCCCTTATCAAATCAAAGGGGCGGGGGGGGGGGGATAAGCCGACCGACCTGTCTCGTGGGGGGGTGCTACCGTGGGACGGTGTTGATTCTGCGGGGCGCATGAACACAGGCGCGCGTTAGTTACGTGGGTTTCGCGGCGGTGCTCTGTGCAACGTGTTTTCATGCCGCCTGGAAGGTCCAGAACGAGGCAGTAACGCACAAGCGATGGTGGACTCTCGATCACATACCGCGTTGCGTTAAATGACGACGTGCTCGAGGCCCCCCCCAGCTTGATCCCTGGAACCTACTAAAGCTGACCACCCCCTGTGCTGTGGATGGCGTGCTCCTACGACCGACCTCTTAAGGGCTACGAGGGAGAAGGTGGCCTGCACAAGCTGCTGCACGGGCGCGGGTGGGTGTCGAGCCTGTCGGCGGGGAGCATGGTCACGGGGACAGACTTCCAGCTGTTCCGCCTGAGCCTGTCGCTCACCGAAGAGGGGGAACGACACACGGACGAGATCATCGAGCTTTGCCACCGCTTCATCGCGCTGCTGAGATCTGAGCCGCCCCAGAAACGTATACGGGTATGATATGTACTTTTACCCGGGTGTACCCGCGTTATCATTTTGTTCTCGGCAGCTAAACCTGTGTGTTTTCCGTGTTAAAACTTAGTTGCATTTGGTACACGTTTGCTTAAACAAGGTTTACATATTTATGTTTCCATCGGTGTACCCCCCACCCCCTATCCCATCCTCTTGCGACACCTCTGATTGCCGGCGTGCTGCCTCGCTTGGTTTGTGCGTGACGGGTGGGGGTGGTCGGTGCCGCAGGATGACCTTGCTGCGATGACGGAGATCGGATTCCGTTTCTTGGAGAACGGAGGTCCGTCAAGAGCCGTCCAAAGCATCGCCACGACTCTGGGGCAGGAAGACGTTGTGCCAGCGGAGGTACGAGGAGAACCAAGTCGAGCTAACGAAGAGAGTCGAAGAATGCGGCGGAATTACAGCAGCCTGGATAGTGTACTTATGGGTGCTGGAGTAGGGTGCGCGCTGGCTGGCAGGGGTAGTGCTTCTATGCAGAGCGAGGTTTTGCGTTGCCTCGCAGTCTACAAATACCCATAAAATGTTCCTTCGCATCCCCACATTGTTACACCCTTCGTTCATGGTCCCTCTCTCTCCCCAACGTAACGTGACGTCCCTGTCAAGTGCCATCCCTGTGATCATTGAGGGGAAGGTCGATAAGGGGGTTTGTTTGGACTGAAATCAAGGCCTCTCTCTCGTGCTTTCATTCGGCGACTGCTATTTCAATCCCTGTAGCGTGCTATGTTCCGCATTTTTTTGCGGAAATATGGGCGCGTTGCCCCCCCCCCACCCGTCCCCCCTTTTTACTGACCAGGTGCTTAGCGGTGCATTCACAGTGCTTGAGTGGGACCCCGCCGCCCTCACCGACGTGGTGAACAGGTTGACTCCCAAAAACTGTCAGGTGCTTACTGCTGTAACTCGTATGTATGGTGTCAAAAGTTAAAGTATCAAGTCTTTTCCATGGAGTGGGTTGGTGATGCGGTTGGTTGGCGCCAAAATGGAAATGTGTGTGTGTGTGTGTGTTTTTTTTTTTCATTTTTTTTCATTTTTTCATTTTTTCGTTTTTTTCCTTCTCGCCTTCCCAGAGCGGAGTAGAGACGGAGGGGCAGAGAAGGGGGAAATGAGCACGGAGAGAGAACGAGACAACGACGGTTGTTGCTCAGAGGACGGATGAGTTTAGACTAATTAGCATGCGGCACACTTTTCCTTTCCCACACGCCGGAGGACAGACAGACAAGTGTTCCATTTTTGTTCCCGGATAAGAGAGTAGAAACGGAACTGGCCTGCGCTCCGTCCTCCCCCTCCCCGTCTTGCACGCTTTGACGCCGGCGTATCGCGAACATGTTGATTAATTGGCTAGCTGTCATGGCACGAGATTGTTTCCTGCTTTTCCTTTGATGTGTTCTTCCTTCATCTAAACGCTGGCCGCAGATACTGGTGGTATCGAAGAAGGACGAAGAGGAGGCCGATAAAGACGGGAGTGCGGCGATAGGTTGGAGGAAGGAGCGCTGGTACGGGACCTCCTACAAGGTGATAGGACGGGGTAGGACAGGACAGCGCTCATCTCCTTTGCACCCGGTCGGGCGTTTACACACGACGTCTGGTTAGCGTTTTTGGCGCCCCGAGGTTTTGCGAGGGAGGGGGGGGCGTACTCTTATGTTTTGCATGCCGTAGCGGTTAGACCATTGACCACGCGTCCTCGAGAGGACGGAGCATTGTTCCCACAGGACCGATCACCGATGGCCAATCGTTCCTTCCTTTCTTGCCAAAGGTGGCTCAAAAATGTCTTCCCTAGTCTATCTATCCTAACGATATCACTTCCCCGCCTTTTCAAACCACTTCCTACTCCCCAGTACAGCTACCTTCCTCTCCTCTCTATTCCATGCCTCAAACACCTCGCTGTGCCTCCCTTGTATTTTTCCCAGCTCAGTCATGTACACTTCCCTCTCCTTTTCGTACAACTGACATCCCGCGACAACATGAACACGGTCTTCGCATTCGAAGCCGCGATCACATTTGAACTTGTCGTCTTCGTCGTCTACCGTCCTGTCCTCGTCGACGTTCTCGAAGGCCTATGTCCCCGGTCCTGAATTTGACCTTAAGCTTTGTCCCTGCATCCGTTGGTCCATGTAGGTAATCCTTGAACCCTATTCCTTCTTTCAACATTATGTGCACTTCTAGACCCTCCTTTTCGAGGGGAGGCGGGGAATGTCCTAGGATTTAGGAATACGTTCAGACGTTCAGCAGCTCGATTATGTCACACCTTCACCCCGTCCCTTCCACTCCAGAGCGCCCCCTCCGCCCTCCCACGCACACGCAAAGAGAACATGGTTCGTGTTTTATTGTACCGATTCATGACCGTGCCCCCCCCCCCCCCCCGGGGGGAAACCCCGTCGGAAAAACTGTTGAAAAGGGCGGGGGGGGTCCCCCCCCCCGGGGAGGGGTTCCCGGAGGGCCTTCGCCTCCCGGGGGGCGAACCCTTCCTCCCCGACGAATTTAGCCCCCCCGCTGACCACGCTTGGGAAACCCCCGCCCCCCCTCAAGAAGGAAACGCTACCCCTGGGGAAGCCCACACTTGACCCG